TTACTTCACTAAATAAATACTTCGTTGTAAATTGCATTAGTGTGACATGTGTTCAATTTGCCATGACCAAAACCAAACATTTTACCACAGTGAGCGTTGTCCTTCCACAACTTTCTCCATGTGGTCTGGTGTGTAATGGATGATATAATACTTATTGATCAGTATGGATGAAGGCAGTTTAGGTTTAGGGTGACAGCTTTATCCAGCTGACAGTTCCACTGAGCAGGAGGAGGAATATTGCTGTAAGATTTCTGTTCTCTTTTCATGTGGGCAAGTTGATAGTGTCCTGATCTTTTATGACCTGCGTAGTTCTTGGGCAGAAGAGGATGTGTGGCTGTTGGAAACATCCCCTGCCCGAGCAGTTGTTCTATGACTCCTCCAAGAAGAAGGTAGCAAGCAGACTGGAAGTGTGATGCAGCCAGGATCCAGCCTTTGGGACAGTTCTGAGCTATATTAGGAGGTTGAAAAATCACACTTTTGGCTCTTCTAAGTTGCTGTTTGTAATGAGATGCCACACACAAAAGCTGAAGGAACTTCTTTATAAAGTTTATCCTAGAAGATGAACAATTTTGTAATGTTAGTTTATCTCTAATTGTTGCCAATTGAAAATACAGCAAAGATGGCAGTCTTTGATCTTGGAAGTTTTTTTCTTAAAAAAGTAAATCTTCAAGGGCAAAGATGTATTTTTAATTGCAAATTTTATCTATGAAGGGACAAATTTAACACAAGGTCAGAGGGACTCTGAAGAGATCTGTGGTAGAGAAGAGTGAGGTTAACCAGACTATTTATGATTGGAAGATATAATCTAAAAATCTGAGTTTAATGCAGTGGAAAAGGTAGCAAAAACTACAAGAAGTGCATGAGTGGTGTGGTCAGATCAGATCATCTACAGCTTTACTGAGGCTTGAATGTGGTTCCTTGCCAAGAGTGTTCAGTGGCTGTCAGTCAGCAGATACAATTATTCTGTGTCTATATCCTCCAGAGCTCTGTCAGTCTCCCTGGTCAGTTATACTTTGCAGCTTTTGAGGTGGCACTGTTTGCTAAGAGGCCGATATAAGACATGGTCTAATAGTGTGTGGTGGGAACCTTAATCTTGGATGAGACACACATCGCCCGATTGTGAAATCTATCTGTGAAGACGCTGGAGGGGAAAAAGAATATATTAGGGGCATCCTTTTCATCCTAAGGTAGACCTTCCACACTACTGCTGACGAGCTGCTTTTTAGAGCTCCGTGTTTTTTGCTTGGGTACAAATTGACTATAGCTAAGTTTAAGTGAGATTTCACCTTATGCTTTATAACTCCGAGTATCTAATGTAAGCCCTAATGATGCAGTGAATATAGGTGATATTTTCTATACTCAGAAATTATAGGCTGTTTGAGTGCTTGTAATTTGCTGAATTTTCCACCAGAAGGGTACCAATGTTCTGTGTAGGCACATCTTTCTGTTAGTTAGGATTAGGGACCTGGGGTTGAAACAGAAAGGCAAACATCAGTGTTACAGGGTAGCGTGAGTTCTGTCTCTATATATAGTGTGTCCTAAGGATTAAAAATACAGTTAACATAGTTTTTTACTAATACAATCTCCTTTGGAGTGCTCAGTCTAGTTCTGGATCCCTCAGTACATAGAGCTGCTGTAGGTAGACCAGCAAAGGACAAAGAGTAGGGTATGGCAGCATGTCACTTATGAGGGACCAGGGGCTGTTTAGCCTGGAGAAGACTGAGAGGGGATCTTATCAATGTATATAGGTATCTGAAGGGAGAGTGTCAAGAAGGATCTGGGCTCTTCTTGCTGGTACTGAGCAGTAGGAAGAGAGGCAGTGCGCAGAAACTGATGTACAGGAAATTCCACCTGAATGTAAGTAGGAACTTCTGTAATGTGCAGGTGATTAAACACTGGAACAGGCTGCCCAGAGAGGTTGTGGAGCCTCCAGCTCTGAAAATACTCAGAAGTCATCTGGATAGAATCCTCAGTAATATACTCTTAGGGACCCTGCTTGAGCAGGGAGATTGGACTGCGTGATCTGCAGTGGTGCTTTCCAGCCTGACCCAGTCACAGATTCTGTGTGATTTGGTGAACATGCATCAGCTTTTTGTCAAAAGAAATACAGAGAAATTAAAAAAAAAAATTGAATGCATGTGTAAGTAGGTAAGTCAGTTAACCATAAATGTGCTCTACTTAGATATCCTTAGTATGCTTAAGGCACAGAAATTATTTTTCTGCACACAACTGCAAACACAGAATTTTTAGTATGTTTCACTATGTGATGTGATTTAGTCCTACAGTTTCTGCAGCATCTCCGTTCAATTTGTCAGCCTCAGTTTGTCTCATTCAGACACTTTTGTAAGCATGTCATATACTGCTTCAAGAGACATACCATGTGCATGAATTCCATCATGTTTTACTTTATTGATCAAAATAACTCTTTACTGTTTGATATTCCCATTAACTGTGTAGAGTCGAGATAGCAAGGAAAGTGTAGGCAGTGTTCTTTCTTGTTTGTAATTTGAATCATTTTCTGAATTAAACATATGCAAACATTCAGGGAGGGGAGCACCATGAAAAGTCTCATTTTCCATATTTGGTTCCTGGTAAAGGAAATAATGCTGCAAATAATTTGAATTATTGAACTTCAGGTTGGGTTTGTTGGACTAGCAGATGTACCAAAGAAAGAGAGAAGATACTTGTTTTATAGGGTGTTGGTGTTAGTCAGTACAAACTGGCTGTAAATAAATTTTGCCTGTAACTAGCTCAGAGTAAAAAGGAAAATAGGAGAGAAACAACTATTACACCCTCAACAGCAGCTTCTTGAGCATGTTGGCTTTCATTCTATGGAAGAAGCCATGGAAATTGTCCACAAGCATAATTTTAACTGATGTATTTCAGGAGCCAGAGGTTTTTTGTACAGACAGTTGGTGCTTATGGAACCCAAACTCTGTAATGTGCTATTGGGTCGTTTTGACATTTTTGGATTTTTCCGTTTGGATGAGAATTTGTTTGTAAAAAATATCTCTCAATTAAGCTGCTTGTGGTTCTAGTGGGTGTTTTTGTTGTGCATAGTCTGTCCTTCATGCCATGCTAATTATTAGATTCTTAAAACAATTAATAATGTACCAGAAAATGTGGACTTCATGTTTGTTGACTGCATATTAGGTTCTGTGTGAAGATCCAGGGAATGCTGAGCTAGCATCTTCAGAGAAGAGTGTGAATATAAGTGTGTGTACACACAAGGCAGTTATTTCCAATTTTGCTTGGAAAGAAAGCAGTTATAAGCATTTTTCAAGTATTGAAAGATTGTTGTTTTACAAATATGCAAAAGTCAAGGACACTTAGTCTAAATTATTTACTTGTGGCCTGTGTTTTTAGGGAAAGGTGTGAAGTTGACCCTACATTTCAGCGCTGCTTGTAAAGTAACCCTGCGTTTGGTGAAATGAGGAGCTAAGGTGATTTTAGTGTAACTGAAAAGCTTACACATTATTCTTTGTGATGCCATTGGATACAGGTTGGTTTGGGAATACCAGCAAATTAGTTGGGTGCCAGAGTTTGAGCAAATAGGGAAATTGCATTTGCTTGGTACATTACATGTGCTGTTCAGTTTTTGGACTTGTGTATAATACTGTGTGAGGCAGAGATTGGCAGCTTTTCAGGAGCGAGGTGCCAGATTGTATTTTTCTTTCACAAATTAGAGGTTAAGAATGCTGGCTGAAAACACTCAAACACGCTGTCAGGCGGTGTTTGGAAACGTCTGGCTGTCAGCAGGCAGGTTCCCAGCAGCAGGAGGATGGTGCAGGGGCAGGGCTCCTTGTCCCAGTGCTACCAGAGCCAGGAGTGCTCTCAGAATGCCAGGGCTTCTGGTGCTCTGGTCCCTGCCAGCTATGCCAGGGTTGCATGCCTCTGGAAATCTACCCAGAGGTAGATGAAACTCTTCCTTTGCCATTTACACTGAGGCTTGGGAGCTGCAGACCCAGTAGGAATCTGTCCCAAGCATCTGTAATTCTCTGTTGTAATTGCTATTAGTATGAAGCTTGACATAAATTTTTTGTACATGTTTGGCACAATGTGACTTTACAGAAATCTTTTTGTTATAGAGACTTTTGGCACTAGAGGATCAATGTGAAACCAAAGCTAATCAATTGACCAGTAATGCTCCCTTGTGCATTACATTTTTATAAAATATGGACAAATGTGAACAGATTTTTGTTGCAAATTTTGAGGAAATAACATTTGAAACCCCTGAGTATTTGGAAAAAGATGCTCTTTGTAAAGTGATATGGAATATTCTGATGTCTGTATTGGTTTTTCATGCTGTATTAATCAAGAAGTAATACCAGTATAGGATAGTAACCTGTAGGCTTACTTTACTTTAGAATCTAACTTGGAGAAGGAGCTCTGGCTGTTTTTTATGCTTAATAACTCTCAGGAGTACTAATTATCAGATAACCTGGAGCCATGTCTAAACAGTGATCAACACTTTATTCAAACCTAGTGCAAATGTGCATCAATTGGCCTCTTCCTTTGTGGTATCATTTATACAAATGCACTGTGTCTAGTGAGGCATGGTTCAAGAAGATGTAACAACAGTCTGATTACAAGCAGCTGCCTCCTGGTTTTAGAACAAGGCTTATTGTTAAATTAGAAGCTTTCAAATATAATTATGGCATGGGATTGTTACTGTTGTAGATATTCCCAGAGTACCACCTCTGCAATCTGTCAGCATGTGGATGGTTGTATGATACTAGATAATTTTTCTAATTTAGAAAGTATAAATGGTTTCTACATAGAAAAAGTTATGATGAAAGTATCTTAAAAAAGTGTTTTATCACTTCATATAATATCTCAGTTATTTTGATCATTGTATAATAAAAAAATAATTTTCTTCTTTAAATGCATATAACTGTGTGACTACTGTGAATTTAGTAGAATGTACTGAATACTTAAAATATTTAGCAGAATAATTAATAATATGCATTTTAATGGGATTTCATGTTTTCTTTTCCCAGGAGCTGTCATTGTCTCCACCCCACAAGATGTGGCTTTACTGGATGCACACAAAGGAGCTGAAATGTTTAGAAAAGTCCATGTACCTGTAAGTTTCTACATGAAAAGTACTAGGGTTTTCTTTTTCCAAAATGTAAAAAAAATTCCATATGCAGCAATAGGTGAACATTCAGAAATCACTTTAATAGATTCTAAGCCTTTTAACAAGATTTTATCTTTATATCTGTATCAGGAACTTGGTTAAACGGAAAAGAGAAATTTCTCGGGCAGAAGCCATAATAATAAATGATTTGTTTTAAGTCTGTTTGTTTAATCATGTGGAATGGATCAGAATGCTGAACAAAATATCTTAGGAAGTAAGGCATGCCTTTCAGTTATACTGTGTGTCCTCATTACATATCCTCTTCTCTGCAGTGTCTGTGTTGGGGTTTCAAATTTTATGAAATGTAGAAAAATAATTTACTGATATTTTTTAAGAAGCAAACTGAAAATTTTGTGGAAATATGCTTATATCTAGTTACTTTGCCATTTGGAGGACTCTTAACTATCATGACAAGTAGAAGACTGTCCAGTCACTACTTTCATGAGGTTTGCGTCTTATATCTTAGCTTACTTGTTTAAGAAATGAGAAATTTAAGAATATCCACAATTAGGAGAAAATATTAAACAGGCTGACATCCTTGACATGATATTTTCTCTGGGTGCTACAAGTTGCTAAGTAACTCAATGTAGTACTCTAGAATATGTTTATGTAGAGATTCATTTGTACTTTGAAATGGGCAGTTGATGAAAGAATACGATTTTAAATGCTTCCTTATCATAAACTGTAAGGAAAAAAAAGATATTTTCTCATTTACCTGTGTGACGGTCACTTTTATTCTTTCTTAAGAAAGGAAGTTTCTTTAATAGCTAGTGTTTTCATAATTTAAAAAAATGCAACAGAAAGTTGAAGTGAATGCTTTCCCTTTTTTAATTTACAGGCTGGCTTAACAAAAGAAATACTTTGAATTCCATATTACTAACTCTTCTTTAAGCATATTTGCATCAAAATGGAAGTATTGTAACATTTATAATTTGCCTCCAGAAGGAAAACAAGAGGAATAACATACAGAACTTTTTTTTTGATTTTATGTTTGGGTTTGTTCAAATGATGTAAAATTATGTTCTTCAATTTAAATTGTGTTCAGGTTAGTACTGCACTGAATTTTCCTTTTGTTTTAATGAGAAATTACCCAGATTTCTTTCTAAAACTGTTTGGTTCAATGTCCTTTGAAGAGAATGGCCTCCCAAGAAAATTGAGCATTCTAGGATGGGCTTGGGTAATACTGATTTGACAGTGGAAGATAAGATATTAATTATTATCTGTTTTGGTTCATTGGAATTATCAGATCTTGACAAATCAAGTGAGAAGTCACAATAAAGCTGTTACACCACATGTTGAGTTTGAATGCACTTGAACCAGTTATCAGGCCTTACATTTTTCATAAAGCTGCTTTATTTTATTCTACCCTGCTTCATTTTATTCTGCCCTGTATGTACATGTGTACAAATATGTCAATTACTTGAGTTTTAAAGCCGCTTCTGCCTATGTAGTACATTTCTAAATGTCAACAAAATATGAGGATCTAAAAAAAGTAAAGTGACATAGGTTTTAATGAACAGACCTGAGGTTTGTCAAAGAGGTGGAATCTGCAGGTCTGTGCTAAAATTACATATCCTCATTACATAATTAACCAATCTTCAAATTTCTAAAATCTTTCGTCTTTCAGAAAGTGCTTGCAAAGAGCTGACTTTTCAAAGAAGCAGAGGCTATAGGCTGCTGAACTCTGAGTATGCTTTCTTATATTTAATGAATTGTGGTCTCTCCCATGTACATACAGACCTATGTATTCCACCTTCCCCTCACACCCACTGTTATTACTTATCAAAGACTCAGATGACACATATTACCACAGTAAAGTCACAGTTGTTAATGTTATTTGTCCTTTTTTGAAATTGAAGTAGAATGACTGAAGGAACTAATGAAAATGTGGCGGAGAGTCAGCATTAAAACCAGGTTTACAGGGCAAAATTAAAATTTTCACTCTTAGGATGTAGTCACTAAAAGAGGAGTGACATCTCTTGTGCAGTGGAGTACACCTACGCTTACAGTGAAGAAGGAATTCACAAAGTATTGCTGACTCCTATGTGAAGTTTCAATATTCTTGTATATTAAGCAAGTTTGGCCAATGTTTTCTTGTGTTCCCAAGGGTGACTCAAAGGGAATATTTTTGAGTAGTTATGAAAAAAACTGCCTATTTCCACCTGCTGAGACTGAGTTCAGTTCATTATTGTTTATCTTATCAATCATATCCCTGAAGGAAAAATCAGGGTTTTAGTTAGAACTGCAAATTTTCTGGAAGTTTCCTTGAATTGGAAGGTTGTGCCATGGATTTTGCAGGTTTCAAGAAACTGCTTAGATAAATTCAGCTATGTATTTCCTTCTGAGTTGTACTAAAATGGCTTATTTGGCTATGTTCTTACTGGTTTTTCTGAAGCATACAGAGTAATCAGCCACAATTATGGCTTCATATTGGGAGCAGATATTAGAGACAGAAATTGCTCAGTATAAGATGAAAGGTAGGAAGACAGAAATATTGTGCATGTTTACTTGAAGCCCTTCAATGCAAAGTGACTGACTGACACGGGGAGTTGATGGCAGAGGAACTGTAACACTGTCGTTTCAGTCCCCATCAGACTGAAGTCAGACCTCAACACCATCTGTCCTTAAGTACAGTGAGTAAATGACTGAAGTTGGTTTCTCAGGAATTGTCTCCTAATGTAAATACAGAGAGCTTTCATTTCATCACTGTATTTTCTTTAACTTAGAATGTTGTATATTTGGATTTAAGCATGATTTATTGTGTAACCAAAAGGTTAGCTGAGCACAAGAAGTATGTAAACATTCAGAAACTGTGTGCAGATAACTCATAATGAAAGGGTTCTTCATTTCCTGTTATTTCTTGCCAGATGCCTCTTCACTGTTTAAAATAACAATTAGACTAAATGGAATGCAGCTCTATGCTGCTGCCATAGGTTAGCTCCTGTATCGTGGTGCAGAGAAGTTTTCATGTCATTCCTGAGCCAAGTTTGCCAAGCTCAGTGAGAACTAGAATAGAAATCACCCACACTTACAAAATAGTTTGTGTAGACAGTAACAGCTGCTTTGAAGCTATTACAAGTCTATTATTTGAGCAGGAAAATGCAGGTTATTACCAACTTCATTGGCAAGACCTATTACTTTGTAGATTTAAAAGCTCTGAAGCTCATAAGGAGCTTCTTTCTGTAAATATATGTGCAGAAATATGCATGGTAGAAATACACTTCAGCAGTAAAATTGTGTATTTGGAAATATTCTATATTATACTTAGATTTTTTCCAGTGGTATCTTCATATTCCAGAAGAATAAATTATATATTATTAAATATGCACTATTTATTTGCTGACAAACAGGACTAACACGGAAAAATTAAAATTATTGGGTAATGCTGAAATGTCATTTCCTTTTAGTAAGGTTTATTTAAATGGAAACAAAAAAGGACAGTGTATAAGGCCTCTAAAACTGGTCTAGTATTGGAGATACAGCTGTGTCTCAGCATTTGCTTTTGTATTGGCTGAAGGACTTCTTAGTTACTAGGTTATTAAACTATGAATGAAACAGCTGTAATAGTTCTTAGCTATTCACAAAACAATAGTAGACTACATAAATTTTTCTTTGATAAATTTGCTGAATCATAACTGTTGTATGAGTGCTTTGAAGAGAACAGAAGTTCAAACCCCAGGATACCTGAAAATGAATTAAAGTGTAAATTTCAAATTGCTTTTTGTTTTCCCCCATGTACTCTCAAAAATGGCCTCCATATATCCTGGAGGATATTTTTGTTTTGTCAAAATAATATTTTTCTTTTGTCAAAAATACACCTTTCAGTGTTCTTCAGTTTGCCAACAGAGTAAAAACTCCATGATTTGACTTTAGGGGAGAGCAGGATGAATGCCTGCTTAGAGGTCATCTGTAGAAGGCTGTGGCTGTGCAGGTCCCTTTTTACTGTTCCTGCACCTTATACCCTTGGACATGTATTATTTCATGTCTCTACTAATGTAAGAACTGGATGATAAATTTACCTGTAATAATGTCCCAGTGAATAGAATCTTGTTCCTCTTGCTTCTCTGACAGTCCCTGGGAGAGAGTAGAAAAGGGGGAAAGTCAGTTTGAGGTGTAGGTAGGTAAAGGTTGAGGTGGAAGTAGGTAAACTTTTTAAAAAACGTATCTTAAAATGGTCCTTGCATTAAACCATCTGAGAGTTTTACATAAGTAAAGGAAGATTTATCTAATATACTTTTTGGTGTAGAAAAAGCAGGTGACCATTTTGATAAATTTCAGCTTATAGCCAAGGAAACTTTTATTATGTTATTGTAAATAACATACTTTCTTATTTTAAGTTCATTGCCAGAAGTTGTACATTCACTTTTAATTAAATACATTTGTTGGTCGCACTGAACACTGCTGTTTCCTCCTAGGTATGCTTCATTAGCATAGTGGATATGTTTCTTCTCTAATAACTGGAGACCACCTTGTTCAAGCACAAAACCAGGAGGTTCAGGAAATTGTAGAAGTACAAAATACTACAAAGTAAATATTAATATACATGGTATATTATAAAGTTCAGCTATAGTGTATATGACTTATCTAGGTAATGTATAAATCTGAAAGTGAAATGTTGTAACATTGCATGTCTTAAAGCAGCCATTCTGTTTCTTAGCAGGTGGATAGAAATTTCCATCCTGTAGCATTTGAACACTGTATTCATCACTTCTGGAAATTTTGCTCTGTCTCAATGAAGAGTTTTGTTTACTATGTGAATAAAATGAGATTATTAGCATTATTTCACATTGTGAAAGAAGATTCTTTGTGTGAATGACTTGGTAAATTTTTGTTTGACGTATTTTATAAACCTGGGATCAATGGAAAGGAACCCAGAGTGTGGGTATTCAATTTTTATGCTATGGGTTTTGCCACTTAGTTTCAGATAATTATTTCTGTTGTTTGATCTTTAAAATGTGTTACTGCTCTTCAGAAGAAAAACAAATCTGGTTCTTTTTGAAAACATTTCCCTACAGGATAACTTATAAAAATACCTTAAAAGCAGTCTGATTTGAAATTTCTTGTAATGGTATGTTTTTATTTTGTCTTTCCTGAAAAATGTGAAGTACAAAACTAAAATACAGCATGAAAATTCTTCCAGTATTCAGAGTTTGAAAATGAAATACTGGCAGGGAGAGTTCTTGGCAGGTTAGGTTTGTGCAAGTACTTTTTGTTACAAATAAGGCTGTTAGTCTTCAAGAGGTGTAAATGTGAAGAAATTGAAATAATGCACAGATGATGGTGCTACTGAGATGACTAATAAGAGGCTGATAATGCTATTGAGTCTGATTCCTTTTCTAAATAACCACGCTGTGTTGGTTCTTAGTAGATAATCTATTCTGTATTATCAGAGATGAATAACGGAAATACCACAGCTTGGTTTGAGCATCCTTTCCTTTCCTTTGACAGGTGTTAGGACTGGTTCAAAATATGAGTGTTTTCCAATGTCCCAAATGTAAGCATGAGACACATATTTTTGGAACTGATGGCGTAAGAGATCTGGCAAAAACCCTTGGACTGGATATTTTGGGTAAGAATATGGAAATGATTTTATTTTCAAAGAAAAATTTAATGGTGTGCATGAAGCATTAACTGAATGATGAAACTGCATATCCTAGATTACTTTTGATTCAGACTGTTTTTAGATATAATGGGACTAACAAGTATTATGCTCTGTTCCTTTTCAGCCTTGTAATGGTGATGTTGATTGTATATGAAAATTCTTGAATTGCACCTTAAATCTTTGTATTCACAAATAATTCAGAACATGAACTGTTTTGATATCAATGTGCTATATTACCTGAAATTCATTATGTGCTTGACTATACAGTAATTTTTACAAATAACCAAGAATTCTCTTTAGTCTTAGGACAGACCTAAACTCTGTCTAGTAATATCAATTAATGTTTTTGCATTTATTTTGTTTAAATGAAATGAGTTGTTACATATTGACTCAGTGGAGGCCTTACAGCAGCTTTCTGGTATGTAAATGGGTCTTAAAAGAAAGCTGGAGGCTTTTTGCAAAGGCAGGCAATGATAGGGCAATGGCGAATTTCTTTAAACTGAAGTAGGGTAGATTTAGATTAGTTATTAGGAAGAAATTCTTTACTGTGAGGGACTGGCACAGGTTGTCTAGAGTCATGGGTGCTCAATTCCTGAAAATGTTCAAGGCTAGGTTGGATGGGGCCCTGAGCCACTTGCTCTACTTGAAGGCATCCCTGTCCATGGAAGGGGACTTGAAATGAAATGATTTTAAGGTCCCTTCCAACTTAAACCATTCTATGATTAGCTATGATTAAGCTATCTGTCATGCCTGCAGGCTAAAATATACATGGATCTTTAAAGTATACATCAGTGATTTAAAAAGGCATGGTTCAACCTGTGCTGTAAGTAAAGAATATAACACAGCATAATTAAGTTGGTAAATGGGGTAATTGCATGTGCTAATGATGTGTTTCCATATATTACTCTAATTACCTCAATGATTTTCCATAGCTAATTCATTAAAAGGAACCAGGAAGCTCACTTAGGAAGATCAACACAAAAACATCAAGGTCTGACATAGACTTAAGATAGCAAGGCAACACATAATTAAAGACATGCTTTTGGGCTATCTTTTAGTTTTCTGAATATGTAATGAGTTGTGATCAGAGCCCAAGGGGACTTATACAGCCCTGGGTTATGTGGATGGATGCACATGCTCTGCAAGCCATTGAATCAAACATGCATTTAGATACGCAGGCACGAATAATGTACCATGGCATTGGTCCCATAGGTGTTTTTTGTTATTTCCTAAGAGCGCAGAACTGATTGTGATTGGATTTAATTAGGAGTGATGGGAGAGATGTACAGATTTAGCCAGGGATAGATGAAATGTACAAAATAAAGCAGAGTGAAGTTTAACTTCAAACTGTCAATGCAAAGCCAGACTAAGATTAATAATAATGCCCCAAGGGCTAAATTTTGAATTACAGTACTTGATCTGATTAGTATGCTCCTCCTTCCAGGGATGGCCATTACATAATAATAGCATATGGTATTGTAAGAATTACTGCTTACAGATTTTACGTTAATCCATCCCAAATTGAAGTTTCATCTCAGTATTCCTTGAATCCTGCCCAAAAATCTTGAAGATGTTTTTACATATGTATCTGTAAAGTGCATATATTTAAAATTAGTGATTCTGAATTTATTTTGCCGATATTTTCTGACACTTATGGCTGTTCTGTTTGTTTAGATAGGCACCTAGTCCTTCTTGGAAACCCAACAAGATGCTTGTCAGCCAACATCTGACAAATTTTGCGGGCTAACAATGTGCAGGATTGAAAAGCATCATCCTTCCACTTGCTCAGAGTTGGCTGTCATTAGTTTTACTGAATTTTTGTTTATGGCAGAAGACAATTAGCAGTTGCCAGGAGACTTTTAAGTGAAGTCCGTTATTTCGTATACTTCTGATTGTCTTGTATTTTTACTGTTCTCTAAAGGAATATGTGACAAAGTTTGTGAGAGACTTTTTGCTTCTGATTTTTCCTCTCCCCATGTCTGAAATTTTTTTCCTGAAGCTTGAGGGCTGTAACCGTGACCAGAAAGCTCTGCTATTGGTATACATGATACTGAGATAATAATTTCTGTGTTCCATCCTGACCTTTGCAATTCCTGACTTTTTTAACACCATCTGGTTCCTGATGATCAGCAATGACTGCCAGATTTTTAAAATTCTTTGATTTTTCTTCCTACAGTAAATTTAAATTAATCTCTTTTTTTGCAGTCAGCAGTAGTTAATATCAGAAAAACTTAACATGTTGAGCTCCCATTACATTGGGTAGTGAAGAATAGTGCAAAAGTTTTATCTTCCTCAAACTCTTACCACCCAAACAGCTATGCAGATGGTTTTGATGTCTTCTATTTAAATTAGGAATTTTTGATTTTTTAAAATTATAATGCATAGTGCATTTTTTTGTCTTCGGACTGCACTTCTGTGCTTACAAGTCCTGTATGCTCTTGTAGTACCGTCACATGTTTGTAAGTCTGAGGAGGAAAGGAGAGAGGCTGCTATTTTTTAATTATTGGAGATTATTATTAAGCTGATGTTGAAGAAGTATTTTTTCATTACCAAAACATCCTTAGGAAAAAAGAGATTAGTCTTTACATAAAATAACAGTAGGAAATGAATATCAGGGAGATTTACAAATTACTGTTATTCAATTCAGAATGATTATGGGTTAGAAAACTTTCAGAGGATTCCCTGAATTTTTAAAAACTGAATACATGAACAGACTATTATACCTAAATTTATGAATTACTGAAATAAATAAGAAAAAAAATTGAAGGAAATGGACTGTAAATATCCTAAATAATAATAATGTTCTTCAAAGATTCAGCACATTAATCATGGAGCCACAGCTTTTGTGTTTACTATTTGTTTGTATTCCTATTTGCTTTGAGTTTGGGTTTTTTTATTTCTTAAAACTTGTCAATTTCCATACATTTTTTTAAACTGTTTATTTTTATGAATACATTGACTCTCAGTAATTTACACTGGCCTTGATTTGAGTTAAATCAGTTGCTAAAATGTATGAATTAAACTGATATGATTTCTGATATGTCAGGATTGAACTAAGGCAGACTGTTCTGTCTTCAGCTATCCATAATGTAAAATGTAGCTATGTCTTCCAGTAAAAGAAAGTTGGTCTTCAATTCACTTCAAAATTATTTATAGAGCAGTAAACATAGGAATCTCCAAGTTTTTTGTAGTGGTGAAATCTGTGTTTCAGAAAGTATGTCTCAGAATGGAATAGGGCTGCTCTAATTGATTCTCCTTTAGAACATTCCTTTCCTCTCTGGCAGTTCCCTGCTCATTATAAAAGCAGAATATAAAGAAGATTTCTGTTGGCAAGAAGAATGAACTGAATAGTTGTCCACCTTTGAATTGGATCCAAGGCCTAATAAGGACAAAAACAAATGCTATTATTTGGAAATTAAATATTCAAAGAAGTCTTTGAACAGTGATTAAAATCTTAAAACAGCACTGAAAAGAACTTACAATGAGGAGATAGGCTGAACAGTAAGTTGCATGATGAACAGTTGCCTAACACTCAGACAATTTATTTCACATAAACAAAATAATTTGTATCTCAGCCTGTATTTTTCTGTGTTTGAGGCAAAAAGCCCTTCCTTCTCTAATAAATGACTAAAACATGGTCCTTTCTCTTCAGAAAATGGGAAATCCAAAATATGTTTGGCATTAATCATTTGGTTGTAAGGAAACTATACTGGAGCCAGTTTTCATTTTAAATGCTAATTTTTGGAGATAAAGCAATTCAAAGAGTATACTGAATGGGAATTGGATTTCAAGTTGCTTTAGGGTTATTTTAAGGAAACATTTAAGAAATACTAGGTGTTCACATACGTGTGTCTTGGTATTTTTGATGCAGGAGATGTTCCACTGCACATTAATATACGGGAGACGTGTGATTCAGGACAGCCTGTTGTGATCTCTCAGCCTCAAAGTGATGCTGTAAGTTTGGTGCACTGCACTTAAACAACAGAAAGCTCTCCTCTGAAAGTGAATGGGGAGTGCTGCTTCTTACTGCTGTTTGGAAAGAAATGGGTTTTTGAATGAAGTAAGGAAATAAAGTAAAAGAAGGCAGTACCAGTAAGTAACTCAGGCCCTTGATTTTGGGGTGCTGGTCATGTGTTCTGCTTCTGTGGGTTTGGTTTTGTTTAATTAGGCTGAATCAGTCAGAATAGAGAAGATTTGATCCAGATCCTGGCACGCTAAGAGGAGGAAGGTCAGTGTCAAGCCTCATGAGACCTTGCAGCTAATGTAGATCCTTTGAAACTGTTGGTTAACCCTTTGGTAGCTGAGCCTGGAAAGTGTCAAAGGGTCTTACCCAAAGATGTTTAGAACAGAACTTCATATTGTCAGTGCCTGGGTTGTATTTAGCAGGAAATGGAGCAATTTGCACACAAGAGGAAATGGATTTTTTCAGTGTATTTTATTGTCAATGGAAAATGCAAGTTGGTGAGGTAGTGGGAGTCAAATAAGCAAATCTGTAAAGAAAAATATTTGCACATACAAAATTTCATTAATGCTGATAGAGTAATGTTTTCCTGTCTGATACTTTCTTTCTCTGCTAGAGTTTGTCTGCCAGGCTCTGTAGGGCAGGGTGCTGTACACAGTGTATGGCATAATGCAGCCCCACTCTTGACTGCTGCTTAGATATAAAGATATACAGTGAAAAAATGATGAATGCTGATAACAGATGGTAGAATCAATTCACAATAAGGTAGACTGTACCTGTGGAACATGTGAATATTAGTAGCTTTTTCAATATCATGATTGCTAGGCACATGCTGAAATGTGGTTTTTCCTTCCCGGTATTTTAGAAGGAAAAAAAAAGGGAGGAGGAGAGCATTGACATTGTTAATCCAGTGTTATTAACATACTGAGCAGGTTTCTGGAAGAACAGTGACAGTCTTAAAATTGTAATTTTGTTTTGAAAGAGAAGAGGCAGCACTGTGGTGTGTTGACTTCTAATTGAATGCCATGTTTTTGCTAGGTTTGGGCAAGGCCCATGGTAGGGAATAATGTAGAGATCTTGAGTCCAGGTCTATCTGAAAAGGAATCTCTATAATCCATATGGTAGTTTCTTTCTGGGAGGTTTGATCTGCAATGTGGAGGTTTGAATGGATGTATGGCTTTGGTCAAAGCTGAAATAAAACAGCTGGAAACTGAGATGGAAGGCTCACAGTATCTGAACTCTGTAATAACCAAGAGTCTGTAGCCTGCTGGACTATTGAGTGAAGAACTCAGACATGTTTGGGATAGCATTCTGAAAAGAAAATGGCAAGAAAGTCTGTTGTGTTGCCATCTGTTCCTCCTTGAACTATGTTCTTGATAACAAAAGGGTGGGTTATAATCACCATTTGTGGCAATTAAGTTAAATATGCAGAGGAATAAAGATTGACAAATATGTGTGACTCTGGGGAAAACTCTTAATATCCTTCTCTGCCTTTGTGTCTTTGAGATAATAATTCTCCTCAGAGAATGTGTTTTTTTAAAATGTCACTAATCTTTATAGAATGGAAAAGAATTTTCCTTCATCACTGGTTTTCTTCTTATTTTAAAGATTGAAAAAATATCATTCTCTTATTTTCAAAGAAAAGTTAAATTCTTAGCACATAACTGATGGTAGGAGAGGTTATATAAGGTCAGATTCTAATCTTTAATACATGACAGTCATCACCATGTTTCGCAAATAAACTGAAATTGTGACTATTCATGCATTAGCAACTTTTCAGATAGAGAACAATGTCTGCTGAAATTCTCTGCTCTTGTCGCTTAAATGTGCAGGGGATTTTCATGCAAAATTCTATGCTGATTTTGTTAGAACACACTTACAAATCAAATACAGAATCATAGACCTGAAATAATACCTACCAGATTCAAACAGTAGGGAACAGGGATGCTGATTGACTTCTTAGAAACCCAGCATGTTGTCACACCTTTTGAGCTCTTTCAAGCCTAGAATAAAATGTTTTCTAAAATATGTCAGTTAATACATTTTTGTTTATGCATCTGCCATGGGGTTCATCTTGCTGTGCAGATAGATAAAAGTATATCTCTGACTTTACACCAGAATTTCAAAATGTCTAAGCAAACTTGTCTAAATTTATTATTTTAAAGCTTAGATGTAGTTGGTGGAAAAGGGGTTTCCTTTTCACAAATGACAAGGAAATTACTAAGAGCTAAAAAAGGAAATTACTTGTAGAATGGTACACATGTGAACTTAGAAAGCTCTTCCTTGGGGAAGGCACAGAATACATGAGACTAATCTGCTTAGGGAAAGTATTGACAATATAGCTAAAGGATAGGAAGGCTTGATGGCTGGAGTTCTCTTTTGGTGAAGTTTGAGGCAGTCCCCTGGGAGAAATAACAGTGCTGCTAAAATGATTTTGCTCTTGGTATAACATTGTCTGTGTCACTATTTCTGTTTGCTTAGTTGTTTAAATTGTGGCTTTTTCTGTGGCTTTTTCTTAATATTCTTCTTTGATAAAACTTTTATGATGTAGAAATGGAATATTGCTGTACTTGCATGGTCAGCCTAATGTAACAGCTGGGAGTGACCCAAGATCCTCTACAAGAAGCTTATAATTTCTTACTTTAATCAAGAGTGATGGTTTATCTTCTGGAGTGAGACCCTTCTGGAAATTAATTGAGCATTTTTCTCCTCCATCACACTGTGGAGGTGGATTAGCTGGCCAAGGCTCCATTTTTTTGCTCAAACATGCAAGAGTCACTGGACAGCAAAAGCTTGTAAATGAAAATCAGGAATGCTGCTAAAATGGTAGAATTGGGGAAAAAATGTAAGGGAAAAGGTAGAATAGGGAAAACTAATGAGGAATCACTGAAACTAGGTGAAATTAACTATACTGAGATGTACTGGATCTTCCTATGGACCATGGGAAAGGAGCCAGAAGCAAAACAGGTGTTTGGAAGGGGCATCCTGAAGCTTGCAGGTAAGGAGACTTGAGGCACAGCAAGAGATATAAAACACGATTAATTGCAATGGAGTTATTCTTCCATCAAAGGAGCTGCTTAAATGCCCAGTGAAGTCTCCATCACACCAGGAGAAAGATAAATAGAGGTTCTTGTGAGCTCTTCCTTCTGTGAGTATAAAGCCCAGAGACTTAGGGAGCAGTTGGTGGTTATTTTGTAAGGAATTCTTGCTAGAAACTTTGGGTATATCACAGCCTGGATGGCACAGTGGATTTATCAATACCTTAGCAGAACAGAGAGGCCATCTGTGATTGTTGAGCACCAAATTCCTGCCTGTCACCTCCCACCTCAAACAAGTACAAAATACATTTGATGTACCAGTATGTCCATTCACATCCTGTGAATGTTGAAGGATTTTAAGGTGAAGGATTCTGAGTCCCATAAATTGCACACTGATTTATAAGGGAAGAGAAAAATCCCAGTCAGGTGGAAAGCAGACACACAATGCATCAGCAGTCTGATGGAACAGAGCAAAATAAGTCTAGTTAATAATCCCTTTTCAATTAAATCAGAACGTTACAAACCTTGCTGTGGTGTCATCCAGACAACTCAAATTTGTATTTAGAGACATTTCTTCTGTAGAATGCTTATGAAAGGGTGATACATAAGTAGGGTAAAAACATACAACCTTTTAAAGATTGCGAGAAGTAGTTGAAGAAAATTTTGAGTACTGGTAGCAAATAGTCATAGAATCCTTTTTTGTGGTTTAGTTGTCATCACTAATTCCATTTAATGAGTGGTCAATCCAGGGAGTGATATTTTTAAAAGAAAAGCAAACCTTAAAGAAGGCTGCATGGTATGATTTATGATACACCTTTAGCATCAAGGCTTCCTTTGAATCATCACAGCAGCATTTGGTACGTGTAGGTTCAGATCCTTCATTCAGGGTGTAGACAGTACAATGCATCATCAGACCCTCATTTATGGTTCTGTCTGCTGAAGAAAATGCTGAGTGTAGGATAGTCTGTTTGAAGGATGTTACAGTGCATTTGATTTGCACTGTTGTACTTACCCGTGTTTTTTGGGCAGGATGTGTTTTTAGATGTCTGCAAGGGCACCTTGGGTTAGCAGTATTACCCAGCTGGGGCTGCCCCTAAGAATGGTTGGGCTGTTGCAACTGCTGATATATAGGATTAATTGGAAGTCTCCTATGAGCACTGAGGATTTTTCTTTGAGATTTTAGCTTTGTAAATCCAGCTTACTTACCTGTCTCCTCTATTTCTTGTTATAATGTGTGGATTGACTTTTACTGTCTCAGTAAGTTTGCCTTTCTAACTTGACTCTTCATTGTAATTTGGCAAGAGTTGCCAGTACACGCAAAGAAGAATCTTATGGTGGATGGAGCTGTCCAGAGGAGGAACAGAGTGGGATAGTCTCTGGACCTCTTGTAGCAACCAAGAGTTTCTCTGGGTGGCATGGAGCTTATATCTGAAGTAGACTCATTTAAAGCTGCACTCGTCATCATATTTTTAGTGCCTTCTGAGTTGACCACAGTAAAATACAGACATTTGAAGGCAGCTTCAGTCATGCACTGAAGGCTGGAGTTGTGTCAAAGTAACAAGCAATTTCCATGGAATTTAAAGCTATTAAAAAATCTGATTGAACTGATTGAGTGCTAAGAACCAAAGTTATCAATGACTGGCTGGCTGTGCTTATTATCATGTAGATGGTAGTTAAAACTAGTATTTGTCCTTGTGATAGTCACTGTTTGATTAGTTGCTCATGGTGGCTAGTTTCCTTCAGCAATTAATAGACTGTAAACCCTAACAGGTCAGTTGGGCAGGTTTAAATTCCTTTTCCTTCTCTACAGGTATACTGGCATCCACAGCATTTGATGTTCCAGACAGTCAGGACTTGCACAGATTCTCCTTTGGATTGCTGGGATGGATAAAGCAGCTTAATAGTCTTGGAGTCTTGTAATCAGAAATAGACATTAGAAACCATGTCAGTACTGGGATTTGTATCCTCTGGTGTCTGAGGCCTATAACCAAGTGATGGGATCAGTGTGTGTTTCTGAGTTGCTGGTCTGAAGTTGTTCGTATAGAGTGGTTTGGGTGAAGGAAAAGGTGATATCAGCTCCTACCTGCTTTTACTTTGTTGATTATAAGTTGGGTGTTGTGTTTGTTTGGCAGTTGCACCAGAGATACTGGCAGGCACTGTAGTGAGCTGTGGGCAGGCTAAGATCTGCACTCGAGTGGAAAGCAAACCAGCAGGTCAGGCCACACCAGTCCAATCCATGACAACAGGGCAGTGTCAGCCACTGTACTGCAGACCTGTGCAGTCTGCAGGAATCTTAGCATAGATGCATACTTCCCTCATGGGTAAGATTTTTAGAGAGAATGAAATGCCATAACTGAAAGGCTCATATTTCCCTAGAATTATTGTAGGGCTTAATTAGATGAGCTAGTAGAAGTCTTCCAGTTCAAATCTTCCCGACATCTGTTAAGCCATTATACTAGAGATACATTACACAGTGATGAATCAGGATGTTCTGATTATTTATCCTGAGTAGGACTTTTCACTCCATTTCCTGGTGAACTTTACAGGTTCTGTTTCCTACTCGACCATGTATGCTGTCATCAGTCATTTCATTATCAGCTGTGCCCTTGAGTTTTTTCAGCTTTTTTTTTTTTTTTTTTTTTTGATTCTGTGTACATTGCCTTCCACCTCTGGCATGTGTCAGTTTGTTTGCTGCTTTACAGGCTCATCAGGGATACAAGGGCTAATTCATTATTAGAGCCATCCTGCAGGAGACAGGAGAAATCAGTGTGGTAGGGATTATTGTGGAGTTTAGTTTGAGGAGAGCAGCAAAGGTTGTCAGTGTGGTCTCTGCACACTTACTGGAGAGGATGGAGTAGGTTGGTCACTATCAAACAGAGTAGGAGCAAGCTCAGGGGACTCTGCTGTGTACTCGACAGACACAGAATGTGATGCACCAGCTGGAAACTGAAGTATGACAAATTCAAATTATAGAAAAGGTGTACATTTTAACAATGAAAGTAATCAATCTTTGGAACAATGTGCAGTGTGTATATACATATACACAAAAATACCATTTTAATTACACATTCTTATATCAGTCTTTTGAGATTTTTAAAAGATGTTCTCTTTCAACTACAAGTTGTTGAGCTTGGTACAGGAATAATTTGGTTTAGTTTCAAGGTTTGTTCTGTGTTGAAATTTACACAGTGTTTTTATAGAAGTCCCTTGACATTAAATGTGTTAATAATTGATGGTGGACTGATCATGGTCTTAGCTGTGTCATGTTTTTTAGAAATATTAATATAAGTATGCTTACCTGGGTTTCTTTCCATAGTCCTGCAGTTCTGTGCTATTGTGCCCTTCAGCTCAAGGTGTCTGACCAGATGTCACAGGCTGGTGTGAAAGAGAGCTTTAACTGTGTGGATTTTAGTGTTGTGGAATTAGTTCTTTCCAATGCCGACTTCAGTCTTTTGGAAAGGTGTCTTTTTTAAAAATACTTTAAATATCTGAATAGGAAATTCCATGGTGATAGTCTAGTCTGTAAAGAATTAATTGTCTCAAAATTTTTTTGAATGCTGTTGTTTTCTCTGATTCTCTATCCTGTGCATCCTGGTGGTTAGGATGAGGAAAGTTTATAATTAATAGTACATGTGGGACTAAAGAGTCTGTCTTCCTCATCACTTCTCTCCCTGAAGACTATTGACTTTGCTTGTTGTTAAAGACAAATTGATCAGTTAAATTTAAATTCCCCCACCAGTATTTTTCTATAATGCATATGCTTATTCTGTGTATTAATGCATTGTTTTTACTGAACAAAGGCTAAATTTAACCAGTTTATTTAAACATCTTTAATTTTCACTTTGTGTGTAAAAGAACAAATACCTAATTAATTATGAAATATTCCTTTCTGTAGAAAATGGAGTGCTCAATGTATGTTTCTGTTTTTGCAGGCTAAAGCCTATCTAAAGATAGCTATGGAAATATTGAGAAGACTACCAGTCCCTCCTTCTTGAAGCATTTACCACTGAAGTTTAGCAAAAAAGTGATCTTTGATGCAGCCAGTGCAGAAGAGTCCTACTACCTAATTACATGGAGGCCATATGTTAGTTCTAAGAACTTCTTCAGGAATTAATTTACCAGGAGTTAAATTATGATTGTGATATTTACTGTTTTTCACATCATTGTTTGGCTATGTCCAAAAGGATTCAAGTATGCAAATGATGATACAGTATATAACTGCTGAATTATAACATCATCAAGCAAGAAGGGATGAAGTACATTTTTTCCGTGTGCCATGTTTTAAAGTCAAGAATGAAAAACAGCCTCTTCATGCAAGGATAACGATGGTATCTCAAGACATAAATTTAATTTTTAAGCAGGATTTTCAGTACTCTAATTTCCTTCAGTTTTTGTTCAGATTTTCACATGGTTAGCTATCAAACTGTCCTTAAGTTCTGCAAGATTTTAAGAAGCAAAATCAGTTCTTTAACTGCTGTACTTTTCTGTATTCATCTGAAAAGAGGATTAAAAATTCCACATATACTCTGAAGAGTTCTTGTGATGGATGATGAACAAATTCATTCAATATTGGATAAAGTTCGATCGGGAGGCAATTCACAGTTTAGTGGAGAACAGATTATGTGACCCTGAGGTTTATTTCTCCACTGTTTTACAGTATAATGAACCCAGACAGAAGACAAGGTAACAGAGGTCTTCACTGAAAACCAGATGTTTTTCCTTAGCTCAGTTTGCCATGGAATGCAAATGATCAAGATAAATTTATGATTGCCTATTTCTACTACAGTGCAGCAACTTGGAAGTTGAATATAAAGATATATTTTTGAAGTAAAGAAATATTTGGTCTTCAAACTGCGTGGCCTTCTGGTTTGTTATTTCATTGCCCTTGATCTTTGTGTTGGTGTGTGGAAGTGAAAGATTATGCCTTCAGGGAATGAGTTTTCATTTACAATTAGATCTTTGAGTTGACATTTAGGCTTTTCCATCTACAAAGTCAAGTATCAGTATCTTCAACGTACATCATAACCCTACCTACCATAAAGTGAATTTAACCATACTAGGAGCTCTGCTGTTGATCTCTGAGGGAACAAGTTTTTAGCTGTATTCCAAGTACTTAGTCAGAATTTTGGATGTAGTTTTTTCTTACTGAAGTGATGCAACATAAAAAATTGGTGTACATTTACATTAATGATATTTAAGTAATATTCTTACCCAGAGTTTAGATGAAAAATCTAGACACAAGTGATGAGTTGAATTTCAAGCTTAAGTGATTTTCTAAATATATAAAATTACATAATCCAGAATGGTTGATTTTTTGCATCAAGTCAATCTCTGAACCATCTTCCCTGCACCCTCCCCTAGGAAATCTCATCAGTGATCAACTTTTTCAGTAGCATATTATTGTGGTCTGTAGAATTGACAAAATACTCAGTTCCTTTCCGTTGTCTGATATACTTTACAGAAATTAAAGCTGGCTTTATGTTCTGCCTTTTCATACTTTATTGATAATATTTTTTAAATTAAGTTTTGTCTCTACAAATTTATTAGCTTTACATAACGTAATTGTTGATATACGTGTCTGTAAATAATCATGTGGTGGTTTTGGCTAGTATAATCTTACATTTCAGTGGAACAACTGGGATTTCTGACTGTTTTTTAGCCAAAGATAGTGATATAATCTGAATGTTAGTATTTGTAATTCTCATTCTGTTAAGTTTTTGAAGTCTGACACCTAATTCATGTTGAGCCTGGGTGAACAATCAGTATATAGATAAGTGGTTGTTCAGCTCCTCTTTTGTTTCTTTCTCATTATTTCTTGGGTTAGTTGAAGGATGAAATTTGCTTTCAAGTTTTCTTGTATTTTTACTCCTTTTTACGTTTTTTTCCCCCTTTTAATTAAATACTGTTGTTTTCCTCTGTTGAATCTTTCAGCTGCAGAATTATTTTGAATGCCTTTGTCAAGAAACTGTGTTATAATGATTAAGCATAGTTTCTACACCAGGCTGAGAATTCATATTTAGTCAACAGTTTCGTGGAAGGATTACACAATGTAGTTGATTTATTGATTGCAAATTCTCAGTAATTTTAAGTATATACATATGTATATGTAGTAGTACAGAATCGGTAGGACATGTCTGTGTTTAGGGATACCAACAGTCAACACAAATTTAAATTGAGAGCATATTTGCTTGATTTCCCTCATTCTTATGAGTGAAAAACTGTTTCCCAGACCTTCTCCTGCAAAGTAAATGAAGGGCACTGGTGACGTATATGGCTTCTTAATGTTATAGAGACACATATTCATATTTTTTATTATATAGTACACTATTGAATACATAATAATGAATTCCAGTCAACATACTATATTTGAAGGTGTAGTCATGAAATCATTGATGTAAGTTATTGAATGGGGGAGTTGGATAGCTGGAGATTTAGCAGGAAAAGGTGGTATTTAACTGTAGTATATAAATTATAGACTTGACACATAGTGCTGTATGCTCTTTTCGGCTCCAGTATTTCACTTTATTCTAATTGATATTCCCTAGTGTACTAATATGTTTTTGTTCTAAAAATGCTAATCCTAGCAGGAGGCCCTGGCTTTTCCAAGCTGTATGGGTAGATGCTCTTTGCTCACCAGCAGGGGAGGGTTACGGTGCTCCTGGTAATCAGCACAGAATTACTGAAGTCTGTAGCACTGTGAGTTCAGTTGCACACTGGAAAATCCCACAGAGGAGGAAAGAGAAAGAAATAGGAAAGGTAGGTTGGCAAGGGACCAAACAGGCAGGAATGGGGACAGAGGCAATTGTCAGTCCCAGTTTACCTCCTGTGTAGGTTAGCAGCAAGATTCCCCAGACTCCCAAGATCCTTCTGCATTGCTGTCAGACTTAGTTTTGTGTTCACAACATGACCCTTTGTACAGTGACCACAGTTCTTGTGTTTGCAGATAATCCCTGCAGTTTCTTGGGTGAGGAGCCTATGGGCTGTGTCTTGACACTGCATTTCTTGGCTTTCAGAAGTTTTTTGTTTTAATGAAAATGAAACTGAAAGAAGGTATAGAATTGTTTGTGCTAATGAAGTATTTTGCTGTACATTTTTTACTGCTATGTTCAGTTAATGAATTGTTCGGCCTTTGAAACTACGGTTTGTGCAATACTTAGGTACTAGATCCTCACAACAAAAAAATACCCTGTTATTTGAAGTTATGAAAAAAAAGTAGTTTGCAGGTTAGTTTTTGCCTACTAATTCAAGTTCAAAGTACCATCTGTTTTAGTTGCTCTGATCATGGTTATGAACGAATACTAATGCAGAGGAGAAGTGGCAGAAGCAGGTAATTTCAGTGTATTAACAAAACACCTCCTGTAATTCTGAATTAATTTCAAACAGTTGGACTCAGATCCAGTTCAGCAAGTGAAACCCCCTTTAACATCTTTCCCATAATAAGTGTGGGTTTCACTTTGACTGACTGCCGTGTGACCATTTACATTTTGGGATTTTGGTACTTACATGCAAAGCTGCTTTCAGAGCGTCCCAAGTCCTGACACTGACACATGAGCTCAGTACCCAACTGCCCAACTCACAGAAGCTGTTCCTGTGCTTCCAGGTACTGGTGGGGACAGGATCTCCATGCTTGTTTTCTTACATGGTTTGCAGTAGTTGTCCAAGACACAAAAAACTTCTTCAGTCACCTGCTTAGTCATTGCTCAGGACCATCTTACATTAATGCCTGGCATTTTAGATGCTTACAAATTTGAGATAAAGCTCTGGTGTTTTGCATTTGGATTTTGATACCCACATGTCATTTTATTTTCTCATGGCCGTATCTGGACCTATATTATTGTTGTCATTTGTATTTAACTGAAATGCTTCCTGGTGGAGATGGCTGGGGGAAAGCCTCCTGCTTAAGAACAGTTGACCATAAGTTGAATCTGAATTGCTGATTTAGTTTCAGAGTTGACTTATAATGGCAGGAGTTACAGTGATGATTACCTTTTATTTTGGCAGCATTTCAGCCAAGGCATTGGTTTGTCAGCCACATACCACAAAGCAGCAAATGAAAAAATTAATTCCCAAAGTAGTTTTCAGCCTAAATTTAAGACTTCGCCTTTTTTTTTTTTTGACTCTGATTTACATTATAAAGATATTAAAGTCCAAAGAAAAAGTGTATTTAAAAGTCTGTATTTTTCCATTATCCTTGTGTATTCAGAGAGGGTGGGTGTTTTTCAGCAAGAAGAGGATGGGCACAGCCTGTCCTTCCTTGTGCACCTATTTGTCTCAGTTTCTCCATTTGTATGAGTCTGGATCTGAATACCCACTTTAATCAACACAAATAAAGGACTTCTAAGGAGTGTGTGAGTCTCTGAACGAGCAAGTGAGGGGCGGTGGGGGGGTGGGGAAGAACATCTGCTGTCCTTTAACATTGTTTTGAGGGCTTACAGATTTATTTGAAGTGTTTTCCCTCATACCACTGGGATTTTCTAAAATTTGTGTTATTTCCTGTGATCCAGAGGTTTTCGCTTTTCTTTGAGAGAAAGGCAGGAGACACCCCACACTTGCCTACCCCATGTATGCATCCTGTTACTAAACAAGGTCTGTTTTCAAAATACAAACTTCTGGTTAATTTTCTGAAAAGTTATCTTATGACTTTCTAATGATTCTTATAACTTTTTACTTTTAGGGACAACTTTTTTCCCCAAATAATTATGGAAGACATGCTATAATGTATTTTTCAAGGCCAATTTTGCTGCAAATTTAGGAAGAATAAACAGGATGAAACTATCTTTTTTTAGCCAAACCCACATTCAGTAGATGTAATTTTGGGATGTTTGTCCACTGTGTAAATATTGCAAATATTTTGTGTCTCATTTAGTAAAGTGCTAAGTGAAGTTCTGGAGCCTGAACACTCTCCTGCCCAGCAGTAGGCTTTTGAGGGTGATGTGAGATGAGTCTGTAGCTGGTCGAACAGGCAAGGATGAGTTTCCACACTGGCTTATTTGCTAAACTGGGAGTTTCTACATGTCTGGTTTTAAAGGAGGAATTTCCATATAAATGGGCTTTTGTCTGTGGTACCTTGAGGCCTCTAATTAATTACATTTCAGATGGAGTCAGGAGGTTTTGGGTTTGCACTCCACACTTCCCTCTGCAGGGTAATGGGGCCCAGTGGCTATTTTGGAGAGTTGGTTTCTAAAACAAGTGTTAAAAGGCTGGGAAAACATACCTCAGCTTTGAAAACCAGCCCCACATTTGTTCATGAGTGCCAGCACTACTGGCATCTCTTCTGTAATGCATTAATATCCTAAGCTTTTAGAGAACCTGTGTGTTGTAGCTTGTTAGCACTTTTTTGAAATGCATTCCTTATTAGCACAGGCAGTGCTACTTCACTTCTGTCCTGTTTCTTGACAGTGTAAATAAATCTCTTTTCCTTGCCTATTGGTAATGCATCCAAAAAGGTACTCCTCTAGAGAAAGAAATGACGGAGCTGTTTGATACTGAGTACTTTCTTCCCTGTAGGGTTAATATAGGAAATGATAGTCACTGTCTCAGTGAATTGTTGATTTTGTTACCCTGATGGGATATACATCTTCATTAAAACAAAATTAAATGGCAGATAAAGTGCCTGTTAATTATTTAAAGCTTGCTGCTCATGAATATTGAAAACATCACACTCTAGTGGAAAATTAGGTTTAAATACTTCAATTTTTAGATATTTTAAAATATATTTTTCTAAGAAAGTAATGGTATTTAAGATTTTGGACAAGGTCTTTGCTGGTGGAATGGATTGTTTTGCACTGCCTGAAAAGTTCTGCCATTTTCACAAGGAATATGACTCAGAGAAGTTGTGTATTATTCCCCAT